TAGTATTTTTTGCCGAATGTTACATGAGTAGCAATATGCCAAATAATTTTTTTTCGACTAGTGTAAGATCTAAATACTTTTTTTGAAATATTCCAATCTGGTACTCACTTAAATAAAAGACCAGTTAGATTGACTCATTTGATGCTACAGGTGATAATAAAAAAGATTTCTTTCAAGGCTCAAAAGAAGTAAGAAGACTATTTCAATTAGGTAGATTCCTTTTGAGAAGAGGATTGCTTTCTTTTTGAACTTTTTTGATAGGATCTTAAATTGTTCTCCTTTTTCAATTTCTTTTTTCCCTTTCCCTTTAACTTAACAATTCATGGTTTATGGACAATTTATAGTAACAAACTGTTAGCAATGAATCTAATAAATAGAGGTTATTTATCAATCCTTTAGGGAAGTAAAATATTGTCTCCTAGACCTGACTTAGAGTACTTTGATACAATGATGAGTTAGTTATTATGTGAAAATCTGTAATATTGTAGATAGTTATATAACTTCTCAATGAAGATCAAGCCATGTAACATGATTGAGGGTTAAAAAAAATAAAACGATTTTTAATTCGATCGGCACTTGTAGATGGTTACGTCACACGTGAATATGGACATGAAACGTGTTCGCTTCACTAATATATAACGCCTGAGATATTGGTTAAATCGAACGATCAACAACACATAAGGATGTCCAGGGCATTTGTTTGGCGTGATTCCGGATTAGAAGGCGAAAACTTAGCATTTGATAAAGAATTCTTCGAGGATGAAGATTTGGATATAGAAGATTTGATAGTTGAAAGTGGCGAATTCAAAATCCGAGCCGAAAAAAAAGATGAGTTCCCTTATCTTTTTGACACTGATTTAGAGATATTGAAAAGAGCATGGTTGAATGAACATTTTTCGCCCGAGATTTTACCATACGAGACAGCCTTTGAAAGGTTAGGCCATATCGTGGAAGAACAGGTATGATAAACCTACATGAAAAAAAAGTTGGATTTATTATTTACCTCTACTTAAACTTAATGCTCAGGCCGCCAAAGCCGAATCCATGGCACTGTCAAAAGAAAGTTGTCCAATCGGGATGATAATATTTAACGATAACGAACGTATAAAATACATTATGAATCGGTATATGCGAACAAGGTTACTTAAGGTAATATGTAGAAATCTTTTCGAAATATCGAAGGTACTATTGATATTATCACCAACACGTCCTGCTTTTTGGTTTAAATTTTTAGATTGAGAAATATGCATCTTCGATTCTTGAAAATATAGAATTGAAAACTAGATTGTCTCCATCCGAATTGGAATTTGCAAAGAGGTTAGGACTGCAGGGAATTGTAAATCATTTTATTGATTTTGATTTAACATTCACTGCATCATTAATTTTCAGTTATAATGATTTGATTAAACGACACGAGAATTCATCATTTTTAAATATGCTCCCACAAGATTCATTGGAGGTATTGAAATCAATAGATGATGGTATGTAATCATTTATTGGCTCTCGTATTACTTGAAAGATAAAATCCAATCCAATATTAAGAAGTATACTGAGTAAACTATATTTTATTTTGCGAAATAGGTGTAGAAACGCTCTCTGCAATTAATAACCATTTTAACTTGGAAAAAGTCATATTTTGTCGAGTTAAGGAGGATATTGGAACCTATTCGTTTCCTTCCAGGTACTTATTATATATTAAAAAAGTTGAATAGACTAATAATAATATTGTTAATTTACTATTTTTAAATGCAGTCCCGATGAAGTTGAAAACTTGGAAAAGGATGATGCATACTTGATCAAATATAATGATATAAAACCACTTTTTAATAAAGGTTTTATTGAATTGATGTGAATATAATAGTTGCAAGATATTTTCGATTTGATTAAAAGTATGTTATTCAAGTGAAAACATATTTTCATTATAATGTATTGATCATAATCCAACAATTATTAATAATCACTCTTTAATAATAAGTATTATATAATAATAACTATATTTTAAATATTTTAAAAAGTTACATTTGATTTATTTAAAATTTTAATAAAATATACAATATATACAGTATATATTTTTTAACTCTCTGTTAGGCTAGTTGTGTATATTTTATTAAATATATCATAGACTATACTAATTAAAATGCCACTAAAGCTAAATTGCTAATTTACTCATCTTAACTTATTTTCAAACTCTAGGTGCAACTTTGAAAGTAATTTGTTATACTATTTATAATTTGGATTAATATTCTTCTATTATTAATATCATTGCTTACAAATGATTATTGCAAATCACCAAAACAATTCTAATTGAGTTTAAATTCAATCATTTCATTTCATTTCATTTTTGATCCCTGTTATTATGATCTTAGTAAGACTTTTACCTGAATATTTATCTTCTATAGTTTCTCATTTTTTCTTTTTATTTCTCACTCTTCTTGTTATAAAGAACTTCATAAGACTCTTTATCTTATTTTTTTAAAAAATTTCTTAAACCTTTTCCCATGTTATTATTCTTTCATATCTTTAATTTCATACTTTTTTTCTAAAGTGATTCAAAATCTTCTTTTAACTATGAGTATCTATTTTTTAACTATAATTCTAATTTTTTTTATATTTTAGTTTCTTTACTTTTATCAATAGATTTTTTTCAAATAATTTTATAAAGAAATTGATTATATTTTAATTTTTTTTTTAATATTCTTCTTATAAGTTTTATTATTCAAATTTCTATTTTTCTTAATTTCTTATTATTATTTATTGAAGTATTGTTGCAATTTTTTTGAACTTCTTCTTTTTATTTCTTCTTTGTTTTTTAAAATTCTTACTATATTTTCTTTATTTTCTTTATTCAAACTTCCTTAACTTTATTTTTGTAGAATTAATATTCTATTAAATATTTGAATGTTTTCTTTTGATTCTCATATTCTATACAATTGTTATTCTTATATATATTATACCTTTTTATTTTTAGTTTAAATAGAATAGATAACTTATTACTAATTAATTTGATTGGAAAGTAATGATAAATCTCTAAAGTATTTATCATATAAAATTTTGTAGATCACTTATGTTCCTTTTTGAGGAACAAAATTTATAACTCTTCATTTTAATAGAAACAAAAGTTAGAAAATATTATAAATGATTTAGATAATTAAAAACAATTATGAATGATTTTTTTATAGTTATTAATTTAAAATTTTTAATGTTTTCTAATGAGAAACATTTGACTTTTGTTTTTGTCTTCCCTTTTAGGAATCCATCTTTACTGGAAAGTTCTTTTTATGTAAACTTTTAAAAAATATATTCTATATATACTTCTTTATTAATTTTTTCTATACTATATTTCATAAATATGTATTTTTAATAATTTAATATTCAAGAATTTTATTTATCCTTAGTTTGATTTATTGTATCTAGCAATATATTATTATTTTATTATTTAGTCTTTTTATGAATTGTTTTATAGAACTATCTAATATTATATTCTGCTATTTAATCTCTATAATAATTTTATCAGACTTAAGATTTTTTTATATGATTACTAAAAGATTTAGTACTTCTTTGATTATTATTTTTTTTTTAATCCACAGTTATATCAGCATGGCATATATTTATTATATATATGCTAGGTATTTACAAATTATTATGACTTTCATATACTGACTCACTTGTCATCAAAAAACTATTTCTCTAAATGTAACCTAGGGAATGATATTTCACTCCTTTACTAATTTGGATAAATCCTCTAATTAATAAAATC